CACCATAGTTTGGGAATATTTTAAGAATTAAAAAACCGAGATGTCTTGAAATTGCATTCTAATGCAGTACAAAGGTGCCAAATTTCAAATGTCATCCCCATACAAATGGTATATTTTATAAACTAATAACTTATTTTAAAAGAGCATTTCGGGAAAAGGGTACTTTTAAAACCACTTGAACCATCTGGCTACGGGCTGCCTCTAAAACCTGTTGGCGCCGCCTGAATTTTCAGATGTCCTTTAAAGCTCTAACGACAACCTTGCGTGAAGCTCGGTTTCCATAGAATCGCTCACCCTATCGGCGACAGTCGAACCTGGTTCCAGTGGCGTAACACTAGGACCGGGGACCCTGTGGTTTTCTGACACTGGGGGCCCTTTCCAGTCCCGGTTGCCAATATTATTGTGGGGTTTAGATGTGTCTTTAGATCATGTTTGTCATTTAATATATTATATATATTTTTCAACGACGAAAAAATATGATATCAGTGGCGGATCTATTAGAAATATGAAATAGAGGGGTCTAGCGAGAAACTTACACAGATGCAGGGTCTGTACCACCTCAGCCCCACCATGATTATGGCACTTCTAGATGGAAATGGCACTCCATTATTTGACAAATTTGACAAACCTAATCCGTCACTGGGTATAATATGATACCGTATGTCCTACAGTCGATGTCAGAGACATTATGCTTAGTTTATATATCCACACAGCTCTTTTGGGTCATGGTGCTAGATCGAGGACCTTATGGGTAGGGGCCCAGCCCCCTAGGATTTGGAGCCCTGCGAACCGCCACACGAAAGCACATAGGCGTTACGCCACTGGCTGGTTCAACTTTGCCGTTTGCGTTGCTGACGAATGGGGGTGACTTCCGGATTGTGTCAGGTCAGTAGCAATGCTACACGCATTGGAGACATACGCACAGGAAACCTGGCCTTGCACTAATTGCACATGGAGTCATGTTTAGTCTAGTGTGTAGTTGCGATCTCGTCAACACGACAATTGTTCAGTCGCAGAACATTGACGTACATGGTCTATTCACCAATAAATAATAATAGTTAATAAATAATCTCAATATCCAATTATATAAGTATTTACCTGTGTGGACTTTCTGCACATACAGAATTATTCTACCGAAGACGATTGAAGCAACTGAATCAAAACGTTGAGACAAAACGACAGTTCTTTTCAGAGCTACATACGTGCTGTACCCAATGCACTTAATATATTATTACTTTGCCACGCAAACCTTCAAAGAATACAGTTAATGATTTTGATGTAACAATACAAAAAAAAACAAAAAAAAAAAACCCAATAAAATTGAGCTTTAACATTTTTATTCCAGCATTATGATAAGAAAATAATTATTTATTGTGTCTGTAGCTATAACCTCATTTTAATTAATACATCTTCTGAATCTTATCAGAGAGAAATAAAAAAAAACGGAACACTTCAGTAATATACACTGTATATCCCATTAAAAGACTTTCTTTACACAAATTATTGCAGCTCACAACAATGATAAAAACAGTAACAAACATCGACAATGGACCTTTTACGAGTGCCAATCAAACTTACGACTGACAAATCAGAACAGGGCTACGAATACGCGCGCGTACTAGACACCACAAATTTAGCCGACTGAGATATGCTACTCTCTTTGTACACTCTGTTACAGTTTTCAAATGAATTATTCTAAAATTAAAATGGCTCCTTGTTCCCTAGGTGCATAAGAAATGAGAGAGGTTTCGAATTAAACGATTCATACATAGCACTAGTCATTCACAATGCGTAATATTTCTTAAGAAAATGATCAGATAATCATAAAATAATCATAAAATATTCGTAAAAATAGTCACATATTGGAATTGCCTTAAAAAAAATAAGACACTTAGTTAATAGACATAAGGAATACATTTTTTTTTTTTAAAGGAACAAGGTATTTTTTTTTTTTTCAGTCATAAAACTTAACAGGTCAAATACTAATACCACATTGGAGCATAATGATTTTAATGGCGTTTTCCATGATTTCCAATATAATTGTTATGGAAATCAAGAAAAGTGTAATTAAAATATTTGCATGCTGCCCTCTATCAATGCTTATTGATATGCTTAGGCTCTTGTCCTACACAAACATTAAGCTTTCAAATCTGTATGGACATTCAATTGAACTTTGGTCGAATACATGTAGTAAAAGCATCGTAAAACCAGAAGCAATTGACTACATATAGAAACCATCATGCAAGCCCATTGACAATAAAAAAAGTCAAGTTTTGAATATTTGGAGTTAAAAAAACTTAAAAGGGCATTTCTGGAGAAGTGGGTTCCATCGAACCCCACAAACCCCCCCTGGCTACGGGCTTATCATCATACCAATATTGGTATTCTGTAGGCATGGAAACAATGGTGATGCTTACTTGAACACAGAAATAAAATTACTCTCTATAACAATATGAATATTGTTTGTCAAATGCATCCCTTAACCTAAATAATATGAGGCATGTCATGGCGAAATGGTAAGTTGTCGCACAGTCCAGTATTGAGTAAATGAGCTATAAAATATGGGAGCTCAAAATATTGCTAAACAATCCAATTTGTTTTTCACTATAGGTCCACAGTTTAATGTCTTATTAATCATGTATTAGTATAATCAAAGTATTAGTTCTGGAAGTGGTTAACAAATTGTTTATTTAACCTTCTTTTTCATCATTCATTCTATAAACAATGTATGCACAAATAACTTTGAAAGGCAATTACTCAAAATCCTGTTTATCTTGACTCTAAGAGTACTGTACTTTCGCTTTCCAATAACTTAGTTTTGAAATGTCCAATTTGAATGAATGACTCCTCATTTTAAAGATCACATACTCAGGTATTTGAAAATACCAATAACTTGAATTTCAATTTTTGCTACAACTTAGCCATTTTGCCAAAACGTGCCTCATATGAAAGACTATGGTTAGTTTAGTTGCCAACTAGAGTACAGTAATAACAGCTAGACTTCTCAAGTTTGTAAAATACATTTCAGTAAACCATGTCTTCAAATATATGTAGTAAATACAAAATTTGTATAGCACTTTATAATTTGTCTTGAGAGCAAAATATGGGTTGCTTAAATTACAGTTAGAGCACAATAACAGCGAATTCCAAACAAACGAAAGACGTAGAAGACTTTTACTGGGCCACTTTTTGTTACTGTAGTTTTTACAGTAAATGATCAGTAACCTGACAAGTATGAGTTGTCTAGGGACAATGTAACCAAACATCCTGATGGAAAAGTAATTTGTTCTGGACGTTAGAACTATATATTTCAGTGAGTCTAGGCCTATGATAAATTTCCGTAGTATTTTGGTCTATTTCCGTACATCCGATTAATTAAGCAAAACTTTTCGTAACAGCTACAGACGTTCTGTAGAACTTGAGAATTCTGTAATAAAATGCTGTAGGAATTTGAAATACAGTAGTAGAAAATATTCTTTCAGAATAAAACCATTTTTTCAATTAGAAGACAATAAGGAGCTTTTGCTTGCCAGACGACGGTACAGTGTGGAACGCAATGACGTCATATACGGTAAAAATCATCCTGCGCATGCAAAAATGTTGAGTTCTCGCAGTTGCATGGATTCTAGGACGCAATTTAGTGATTGAAAGCGAAGATTTTTACTGCTTTTCACGGCGGTAATGTTGCATTTAACCTAGCTGCAACTGGTTTAAACGTTTCAGAAAACGCACATTGCGATTAAAGAAAAGCATTTTTTCATAGAAACATGAAGAGAATTGTGAAGAGAACGGAGAACGGTCACGCATGAGTGAATCCATTCCATCTTCGCGTCGTTGCGGAAAACAAAAGCTACCTATTAATAACACAGTGTGAAGCATAATAAATACCATTTCATTAAAAATCAGACTCATTCAAAAGTAATGGAGTTAATTTTACGGTATGAAAACAAACGTTAAAGTGTTTGGTATTTACAAAATATTAGGTCTAAAAAAAAACACCTGCATAGAATGTTGTCGGAAGGATAATAAGTGTATTGTGACATCATCAATACAGATGGGTGTGTATTGTGACATCACCAATACCGATGAGTGTGTATTGTGACATCACCAATACGGATGGGTGTGTATTTGTAACATCATACAGATGGATGGATGTGTATTGTGACATCACCAATACCGATGGGTGTGTATTTGTAACATCACCAATATAGATGGGTGTGTATTGTGACATCACCAGTACCTACGGGTGTGCATTGTGACATCACCAGTACCTACGGGTGTGCATTGTGACATCAAACAATAACGATGGGTTATAATGTGACATCACAATCTGTTAAGGTTAATTTTTTTCACAAAATCTATGAATTCTTGACCACAATACATCTGTAAACATACTTTTTTTTGCAGATTTACATTCCTAGATATTTGTATTGTTGACTTTTTTAATGGATTATGAATATTTAAATGCTTTAAAGGTCAAATCTTTTGCTGCTCTACCAATGAATCAAAATAAACCAAATACAGATGTACCTCTGGTATTAGCCCACCAAGACGATGAACACAATATAGGGCCGATTTTGAGACATGGGCGTATACCCAGGATATCTCATTTTTTTTTTTTACAAAAAAAAAAACTGATGATCCGTTTTAAAGCAGACAGCATGACCTTATTGGTAGGGCTGACTAATCAAAAGGCAATTTCAACTGCATGTCTAATTCAAAGCCAACCCTATGACTTCTTCTCTGAAAGTGTTTGCAAAAAACATTATAAGGTACCCTGGGCTTTTACCTGGGAAACCCCTGGTATGTAAAATTAGGAGGTAAAGTTGGGGATGGGCTTATACTGGAGGAACTACAGTCGACTTCTCTAGTACATACAGTACATCCATTTTAAGTGAAACACATCATGACCATACATAGGCATATCATAAATATACATGAATACATGACCATATATAGGCATATCATAAATATTCATGAATACAACATTTTTTTTTTTATAGTGAACAGAGTTTAATAGCTTCGTATTAAAAATTTGAAAAAGAAAATATTTTGCTTTCCACATAAAAGATGCATCAATACCATCACCTTTTATATATCAAATTTTTTTGTCATCTGGAAAAATCTAGCCATTTTGCAAAGCCTTCCAGAATCTAATACTGAGCTAAAGATTTAAAATATTTCAATTACTTATACTTTGTATATTAAAGACCTTGTCCACACCATGTGACATGCCTAAATATGGTCATGACAACACATCATGACCATACATAGGCATATCATAAATATACATGAATACATGACCATACATAGGCATATCATAAATATACATGAATACATGACCATATATAGGCATATCATAAATATTCATGAATACAACCATTTTTTTTTATAGTGAACAGAGTTTAATAGCTTCCTATTAAAAAATTTAAAAAGAAAATATTTTGCTTTCCAAATAAAAGATGCATCAATACCATCACCATTTATATATTCCTTTACAATAACTCTTAACCTTTTAGCAAAAACTAAATTGTCTTTGTAATTTCATAACTTATTTGGTCCTTTAAATGAAAAATTCAGTTAAAAAAATTTTTTTTTATAAAAAATGCTATATCTTCAATGATATACTGTAGTTTCCATAGCAAAATGTAACTTTAATTTTAGAAAAGAAAAAGAAAAAAAAAAAATTAAAAAGATAATTAATAAGTCTATTTGCTGCGATCTTCGCAGCCTTTACTGCATTGTAAACAGTTACTTTTCACCATATTTTCTTAATTGGTGCAATTATTTTTTGCAATATACTTTGAAGTTTTGAATTGTATTAAAAAAATTTTATTTACATTTAATCTTTAAAATTTGCCTACATGAATACACATAGATACCACTCAATATTGTGAACTTAAATTTTCGGGATTAGTGTTTTGTATCCACTGGAAAAGCGCGGTACAAAAATACTTGGACATTACATTAATAGAAATATGTATGCTAATATAACCTTTTAAAATCACAGAAAATATTTTCCAACTTTAGTTTAGAAAAAAAATTGTTATGGACATAATTAATCAGCAAACTTTATTAGAAACGTTTTAAGCATTTGTGTTATTATGCTTTTCTGTAGCTGCGGTATCCACTACTGTCATGGACGTGAATGCAAGTTTTAAGCCAAGCTTGGGCGGATTGCTATAAAACGGTCTTAACCGATAGTCTTAACTCGTCGGCTTAAAAGTCGGCTTTATCACTTAGACGGTCTTATTAAAGTCACTCTACTAAGACCATTGTTATAAAACGTTCTTCTCTTAGACCACTTTGAGTATTGAAATGCAAACACGCGTTCCTTGGTAAATTAAAATTGAGGGTGCTGTTGCGCTGGCTCAAAACATGCATATTAATCAAAATGAACATAAATAAACGTAGACTAGTTTTTACAGACACTAAGAAGCTTGCGGAATATTCGTTGTTCGATTCTTAGTCTTTGACGATCTAGACATAGGTCTAGTATCTATAACGCCGTGATGAAAATGATTTAAGACCTTTTTTAAGCCTCCTACAAGTAGGCTTTAAAATTTAAGACGGCTAACTGGTTAGACCGCGGTATAGCAATGGTCTAAAATCATAGACCAGTAGAGACATCACGATTAAAGCCGGACCGCTTATAGCAATCCGCCCCTTATGTTGCAATTGTAACTTGACTCAACCCCAATAGTAACGCTCGTGTCGACTTTCACAAAGTGATTGCGCAACTACAAGTCAGCTTGGTAGACCTAGCTGCCTGAAGTGCATAAATTCTGACTGTAGATTGTCTACACCTAGTTGCCATGTAACGTTACCATTAATGGAAATGTTAATGTGCGCGCCACAAGCACAATTAACAGACTAGAGTCAGGAGTAGATCCAATAGAGGCATGTACTCGATATTATTTATAATTTATATTTATATTATTATTATTAAGATTTAATATAGTTTTCATGATATTCGCTTCATGTCCCCAATGTTACCTTCCCTTTTTAGCATATTTTTGCATAAAGGGAGTTTCGATTTTCCGTTCAGTTTCCCGTGGGCTTAGATCCCAGACTGGGTTGTGGAATGTCATGTTGTAACGTCTCCCCCAACGTTCAAAGATAGCTTTCTCCGTCATAAACCTGTGGCCACCTCTTGAGCTGCCCTCTTGTGACTTGTAATAGCTACATTCAGCTGGATTTGGTGATACTTGGTAATAGTGGTATTTCACTTTGGAATTTGGATTCTTCCTGAAAACCAAAAGTAAACCAAAAGTGAATCACTTAAAATTATAAAATACATAAAATAAAATTGATTACATCACCACAGAGTAAGAAAGATGGTCCAGAAAGGGAATTTTATTTATTTATTTTAAAAAATTATTCAGCTTTAGGCACTAGGGCCAAGGATACGCCAAACAGTGAACATTCAGTGGCCATTCCATCACAAGACAAGAGGGGCTGTATGGTAACCCCTACTCATCTGTACTGGATTCTTTAAAGTGGACATGAGACAATTGTGTACACTGTTTAAGCATCTCTAGATAACAAGATTGGCACTCTCAGATGTAAATTTCAATACAATTTTCTTTTTCTGCCATTTTCTTTTTATTTAAAAAAAATTGGGGGGGGGGGAGGTGGGAAAAATGGGGTCTGACTGCATCCATGGTCCTAGGTATAATTTTATATCCTCATTTGTATTAAACTGTGCCTAACAATAGGAAGCTTTCGTGTGCATGACGAAGGTGGGAACTAGTAGGTTATATGACGTCATTAAGAAGTCATCTGCGCATGCGAAAACGTTCCCATTGTCATCTGGATTCTAGTACGCAGTTTGACCCGAATCTACGTTGTGCAGATGCCATAGGACGGTCACAGATAAGCAAATCCGATCTAGCGCTATGTCGTCCGGCAAAATTGAAAGATTCCTAATGCTCTCAGTGACTGAACACAATTATTGCATGGTAATTATACTCACAGGCAGAAGTCCTCAGGGATCATCCCATAGATATGTATTTCATCGCACATATCCAGTGCTACCATCATTGTGAACCAACCTGTTGACAACCATGTGTTTGTCTTAGCCCTGTAAAAGAACAGAATATAAATACATTGTCAGGGCCAAAAATGTTTAGTGAAGGGAGCACATATTTCATATGCTTATATGTACTGTACATACTCGTGCATAAGATGAGGCTTAAAATAGCTAAAATGAGGGGGTGGGGGGTGGGGGTCATCTTGTGTGCAACATACAAATTTTAGATTTTTAAAATCATGATTGTCTTTTGTGCGGATCGTCCGTAACACAAATTCACTACTGTAACGAAGCTACTAAAATGTTAGTAGGCCTACGAATGAAAGCAATTTTAAATACGGGAAAATAAGATTTTGAGCATAAAAAAAATTGTATTATTTGGAAGATTGGCCCTGCATTTTGCTCTGTTTTGAGCCAGCTAGATGCAGTATCAAGACCGTAAAAAGCAGCAAATAGATAAAAAAAAAACAGGAGTGGGGGGGGTGTCTTATACGCCCGACAAGTCCATATATTTTTTAATTTGGGGGTGTCGTCTTACAAGTGGATTACGTTACGTGTGAATATATATGGTAGGTTGGTGGTGAAGGTGCTTGCCTTCTAATCCCATGGTCATAAGTTCAATTCCTATCAGTGACAATCAATGTAGAAATTAGATGTGGGGGGGATGGGGGTGTAACTGATTTGATAATGTCATAATCTGTAAAAAATATAAGGCCTAGTAATAGTGTTTACTATATGTCTGGTAATATTTGATCTGAAATACAAAAGCTTTGACATCCAAGCCTTGAAAGACTGATACTTCTGAAGGTGGGCCTAATGCCAATTATTAGACAAGAAGGCTTACCACACAAATCCACTGACAATCAATATTTGATTGTACTTAAGTAAATACTTAATACTTCCTTTCATACAAAAGAATATTTTAACCAGATGTCTATTAAAAGTCCTTACTGTATATGAGAAAATCAACTAGTATCCATTTTATAGGGCTTTGAGAAAGCCTTGATGTACAGTAATGTAACAGACTTGACGGTGCATAACAAGTCTCAATATCTCAACAAAGAGGAAAAAAATCATAACCAAAGTGTATAAACACACTTCAAGGCCAGCAAGACAACCTCACCACTTGTAGTCTTCCATGAAGACCAAGGTGACATGAATTACCCCTCAAACCAATACAAGAACGCAGGAGGTCCCCCAATGACCCCCCGGAAGATGACCAGTTATACAAAAACACACCAGGACAACTGAAGGCGCAAACTATACCTACTACATAAAAAACACATGTGATGTCTCAGCAAGCCTGTTACAAACATCAACAGTACACTTGAATGCTGGTTGATCACCGGAGAAGATCAAATGATTTATTTTGCATCAAATAAGAAAAAAAAAAAAACATTGAACACTGTAATTGAAAATAATTTTTAGCAAAGTTTAAAATATAACCCTAGATCTGAATAAGATCCAGGTTTCTATTTTTATTTTTGCTTTAACTTCTTCCATTTAGGATCAAACTTCGTTGTTGAAGGCTACACCTCCACTAGCTCTGCCCGCCAAACACAGAGATCTCCATGTTTGGTAACGCAATGCTTGACCGCTGAACACAGAGATCTCCGTATTTCAGGATTTTTCACAGAATCCGATAGATGGGGTAATTACCGACATGTACTAACAATTTGAACACTATATTCAGCCTGGACCAAAGTATTTCACTATTTGTTTGTTTACATTAGCGTAGAGCGGCATTGATTTACTTTCACGAAATCGCGATTATATCAGCTTCAGGGGCGGATCAAGAAATTTCCAAAAGGGGGGGGGGGCGGAAGGGGGGCCAAAAGTTGGGCCAATTGAGACAACACTGTCGTAGGGGGTCCGGGGGCATGCCCCCGCGAAATTTTTGTGTTCTAGGCGCCCGAACATAAGCCTAACATTTGAGGCATTCTGAGCTATCATTTTTTTTTTCTTTTTCTCTCTCTTTTTTCTTTTTTTACTTCCAAAAAGGGGATGCCGGGGCCGGGCCACCCTCCCCCACCCCTAAATCCGCCCCTGAGCTTTGTTGTGCGAAATTGCGCAAATCTCAAAAAGTGAGTCATTTTCATTTTAATGTTAAGGGTCACAAATTGTGACTAGAATAAAGTGTTTGGTACCATTGTAATTTAGCTAAAATGTTTGTGGTTCTTGTAGTATTCACTACATGTCAATCTGATCACATACGCACTCTCAACGAGCTTCAGAAAAGTGTTAAAATTTGCTAAAAAGTCTGGCGGTGGCTGATACTATTTTTTCAAATCCCTGGTGGTCAGAATGTTAATAATCTTATTTTATTGAGATACACTTTAAACTGACACTAATAATAAAATAATTAATAAAACATTAATTAATAATAATAATATAATTTATGTTATGTTATAGCAGAATACACTTTACACAAAATTATTACAGTTTTATGGACAACCCTTTCATCCTAGTCTCAAAGGGATCCCATCCGCATCCATCGCTATCACGATCATCAACAACTTCCTAGGTGGCAAAATAAAGGAACGGGACACACAATTACCCTGCTGCAGCCTCCAGGTGTCCAGTGACTAAATGCCGAGACAGGGGTCCCCCAGACAGCAGGCTGTCAAATAGGGTAAAGTACTTACTGGTGGGTATTTAGCTGTAATTTGCTAATTAAGAGTCTTAAATTTTGTTCCAATCATCATGTTTCACACTCAGAGTTGGTATTGTACTTTATAGCTTCATTGTTGCTGGGACTTACTGTAATATATTTTTTTTTGGTTAAATGTTGTCCTCCAAATAACTTCACATATGAATTGGATTGGCACTGGCTAGTACCTTTTATAATGACGGCCACATATTAACAGGACGTTTACTTTTAAACTACAAAAACGTACGTCGGCGAGAGCCTCTTATCAATTGTGCATTAAAATCTATAAGTCATTTCTGCTGGTATTGTGCCAAATTAATTTACTGTATCATAATTGATCGGTCTTTGAGAGGTGAATTACACCAGACAGCTGATTATTACTAACATTTATCTCCCTGGTTACAATGCAATAAACTATTAATGCCGCTTATTTAGCTGTTGCAAGCAGTCAATTGTGACATCTAAACAAAGCATGGAGCATTGAAAAGTGTTGAGCATTGAACACCATGGTACAAGGCATATTCTTCTGAAAACTGTCGACATGGGAGCAAAAAATTTGGAAACGATTCTTTTATGTGAAGTTTTCAACATCAAATGGCCCAATAAATTGTCAAATGATAGAGCCAGATAGAAGAATTTATGTATGTCAGGACTACAGTATCTCTAATTAAAGACCAATTTCCTGTGACACAGTATGTCTCCCTCTAATTAAGACCACCTCCACTTAAAGACCACTTTTCTGTGGTACCATATAATTAACAAATGTCTTTATCTTTATTATTCTAATTAGAGACAAATACCCCACAAGTGGTCTTTAATATAGGGGGAGACATGTGTTTACATAGAGACACCATGTTTTCAGATGAAAGCACCAGACAACACAGTAAAAATATATTGAACATAAAAAAAAATTTAACATTGAATATTTAAAATGTCTACATAAACTGTGCAATAAACCCATACCGTTCAAGGTCTTTCGAGACAACCCCATAACACTCAATTTTTCATGCCTAAGATGAACCCACGTGGGCCGAGCCCCCTCTGTTTACAGTTTGAAGTTTTCTTGTCAGTGCAATATATCGATTTTTACCTAATTTTCTAATTTTTAAATTTATCAATTTTAAATATTTTCCACAATTTTATTATTCATTTTTATAAATTCTTATATATTTGTCTTCTCTCCGTGGTTGTCTTGTTTTCTCTTTCCTTTCTTTTTCTGTCTTTCTTCTTTTGTAATCTGTTTAGGCTCTGTCTCCTCCCTTGTCATTTATTTTAAGAATGTGATTGTAGGGAGATTTTTTATTATGTTCTCCTTTATCCATTTTTGTAATGTGTTCTAATTGTTTTGAATGAAAGTGATTTTAAATAATAGTACAATACAGTACACGTGGGAGCAGTTGCAGCAGTGCTTGCGTTTCAGTTTCTCAACCACAAAAGTGGGGGTTCGAATCCTTGCTGTGCATTTTGTTTTTGCATTTAAATTGGCGGGGTGCAGAAATGAACCGGCCAGCCTACCACATAAGAAATACAGGAAAGAAAACAGGATATCTTTATAACATGCTTCCTCTTTTGGAATTTCGATATCACACCTTTTCCCTAGTCGTTCTATATATTTCATTATATATTATATATTTCATCCACAAAAAAATACTCTATTATTTCTGTAATTCTACAGTACTTCGGAGGTCAATGCCCATTAGTGATTCTCTTCTACGATACGCCTACTACTGAAGGGTCCACTGATTAATCGCAGATAAGAAAGTATAATACATACTCCAAGTATTGAAATACACGCCATCATGTTGGGATTCAATATTTCGACATTAATTATGTCATCATACTCCTACTTTTATTTAAAATTATGTGTTACGGTTGATGGTAGCAAATATGCCTATATCATTAAATATATTTCATTTAATTAATGTTATTTAATTTGTTTATCAGAAAATTAGGTTAATTTATGTTTTATAAAGTATGCGTATTATATATATATATAGGCTTAGCTCCCAACTAGCGTATAAGAGACAGATTAAATACATTAGAAACACTGTTTTGGCTCGACGTTGTAATAATTATGTACGAAAGTGTATTCTTCAGGCCTATCAGTTCATCGATCTATGGAAGAAAGAATCTAACTACTCAATAATGTTGGAATATAGAATACGTGCCAAGTTGGAGGTAGCTAGAGGCTTGAGATTTAACAGGAAATAACTCAATTGACGTGAGTCGAGGGCCCGTCCAAGGGCCCCGAAAAATGTTTGGCTCTCTGGGTACTCTGAATATCTCTAGTGCTGAAATTAAACCTTAAAAATGAGTAGCTATAACAGGAACGATAGTATAATCTCACTACAATAATTATAATTACAACAACAATAATAATAATAATAATAATAATAATTTAATATTGGTTGCCTTTTTGCCCTTTAAACTGTTTCATTTTGCTGTTATTGTGATGTGGGTCTATTTGTTGAAAAATGTTTAAATGTTGATTGTTTATATTTTTCTGCTTGAACCCTTTACTTTTATAAAATTCAACCCATTTTGAGTGATGAATAAAGAATGATTTGATTTTATTTGAATCGGAGACCTAGAGATCCCCACGTTTTAGCGCGCACAGAGGCTACCACCAG